ATGGCATCAAGAACAACCTTCACGAAGTGACCAACATATAAAGCAGATTGAAAAGAGCACAACAAATCTCCCAACACTTCGATAAAGTAGCTTAAGGAAGTGCAAATGAATAATAATAATAATAATAATAATAATAATAATAATAATAATAATAATAATAATAATAATAATAATAATAATAATAATGAGAAGAAGAAGAAGAAGAAGAAGAAGAAGAAGAAGAAGAAGAAGAAGAAGAAGAAGAAGAAGAAGAAGAAGAAGAAAAAGAAAAAGAAGAAGAGGATAATAATAATGATGATCATAATGATTATAATGATGATGAAGAGTAACATGTAAAATAATACTTAAAATACCATAAGCGAGATAAAAAGAGCAGAATATGAGATTATTAAGTGTCGAAAATAGTAAAATGTACAAAAATCACCGTAGAGTTTAACGTAGATTAAAAAGTTTGAAAACAATGAACTGCACAGGTAAATTACGAAATGTAAGACAATACCTGAACAACTTGTGTAGTCTCTTTGCAGATGGTTGTGAGACGTCTTTGTTGATGCCCACAGAGTAGAGTAGCAACAGTCAAATGGAGATCTTCATGAAGTCTGCTGGCCACGTCAACTCCTGGCCCTAATATAGCGTCCAGTAGAAGTATGCTATGCGGGTTAGTGCTGTATTACACCTTGTCAACATGATATTTATGGCCACACTTCCCGCATGCTGGTGAACTCAGTACACAACTATATTTCCCAGCTTATCTATCTAATCTATCTATCTATCCGACCAGAAATCCGGTCACCTATCTATCTATCTATCTATCTATCTATCTATCTATCTATCTATCTATCTATCTATCTATCTATCTATCTATCTATCTATCTATCTATCTATCTATCTATCTATCTATCTATCTATCTATCTATCTATCTATCTATCTATCTATCTATCTATCTATCTATCTATCTATCTATCTATCTATCTATCTATCTATCTATATCTATCTATCTATCTATCTATCTATCTATCTATCTATCTATCTATCTATCTATCTATCTATCTATCTATCTATCTATCTATCTATCTATCTATCTATCTATCTATCTATCTATCTATCTATCTATCTATCTATCTATCTATCTATCTATCTATCTATCTATCTATCTATCTATCTATCTATCTATCTATCTATCTATCTGTCTATCTGTCTGTCTGTCTGTCTGTCTGTCTGTCTGTCTGTCTGTCTGTCTGTCTGTCTGTCTGTCTGTCTGTCTGTCTGTCTGTCTGTCTGTCTGTCTGTCTGTCTGTCTGTCTGTCTGTCTGTCTGTCTGTCTGTCTGTCTGTCTGTCTGTCTGTCTGTCTGTCTGTCTGTCTGTCTGTCTGTCTGTCTGTCTGTCTGTCTGTCTGTCTGTCTGTCTGTCTGTCTGTCTGTCTGTCTGTCTGTCTGTCTGTCTGTCTGTCTGTCTGTCTGTCTGTCTGTCTGTCTGTCTGTCTGTCTGTCTGTCTGTCTGTCTGTCTGTCTGTCTGTCTGTCTGTCTGTCTGTCTGTCTGTCTAGCGATCTGTTTGCTGACGACTGTACAATATATACTAGTCATGACAATTGTAATGAATTAGAACGTTCTTTACAGAAAGAAATAGATAAACTCATAAAATGGAGCAATGATAATCGCATGCAAATTAATATTAATAAAACTAAATCTATGGTGATAACAACTAGGCAAAAGCTACAAACATTACCTGTACACAAGCCACCGTTTGAGCTCTTCATTGACAAGCTACCTATTGTTAATGTAGTTGAACACAAAACATTAGGTGTTTTAATTGACAGCCATCTAACTTGGAGTTCCCATGTTCATGCCATGACCAAAAAAAGTAGCACAAAAAGTATATCAACTTGGAAAAATTCAGCACTTTCTGGACGAAAATACACTTAAAATATTTTACGTATCCTACATTCAAACGCATATTGACTATTGTTCCACAATTTGGGATGGCTGCTCCAAATCTAATGTCAAAGGGCTGAGTTCTCTACAAAATAGGGCCTTACGCCTAGTTTCCGATAGAAACTACGTTGAGAAAAATCTTTTATATGGACATCTAAGGCTTCTGCCATTTAGTAAACGTTTAATTTTTAATAAGGCTAAATTTATTCACAAAATCCTATCTAAAGATACTCCAAATTACATAGACCGATTTATTCAATCTAATCCTAAGAATAGCAAGCGACTAGGTTTATTACATTTGCCTAAACCCAGAATTGATTTATTTAAAACAAGCCTAGCTTATTCTGCTGCTCATTTATGGAACCATCTTCCACCCGATCTGAAAACTACAAAAAGTCCTTACTCATTTAACCGCAAACTCTTTCATTTCATGATTATCAGTGATTACATGCCACCTTAAATGTAATTAATAATCCACAATGCATTACTAGTTATAATTAATTGCAGTACGTATGATATGTTTGTATGCGTATATGTGTGACATGCTGGCGTGTGTAGGCGTATGTGTGTATGTATGATTCTGTGTATGCATATGTAACTGTATACGTTTGTGTGTATGTATCTGTGTGTAGGCTTGTGTCTGTGAGTGTGTCTGTTTGTCTGTATGGTGTCTGGGTGCTTGTCTGTGTGTGTCTGTCTGCGTGTCAGTGTGCGTGTCAGTCTGTGTTGTGTGTGTGTGTTTTTATGTCTATCT